CTGGACAAAGCCCCTGCAAATGGGTGCCTGGAAGAAGCTGCCCACACCTCCATTTTAAAGGCAGGGACACAAGCTTCCAAGGCCCACCCTGACTCCTTCCAGCAGAGGAGGTCCATGAGTGGTCTACACCACCTGAAATGACACTTCCTCAGCCCCCCACCCAAAGACCCAGCATCCCGATTCTGAACATCTTCCTTCAATCTAGTTTGAGTGGGGGGGAAACAGAAGCGGACAGTGCCAGGCTCACTGCATCCTCCCTCCCCCAAGCATCTGGGCTAACTCCTTGGTATCCTTCCCAACCGGGTCCCGCAGGGCCACCCGTTCTACTTCTGGGTACTTCTAGGCTGCCAACAGGCCGGAGCCAGCTTCTCTGCACCTACTCCCATTGCCCGTGGCTGTCCTCCGGATTCCTCACCCACCCTTCAGATATTTGGAGAAAGCTCTTGCCTTTGTAACACACTCAAGTGCAGCAGTGCTGAACCCATTGAACAGATGGGAAAACCTGAGGCTCCCAAGCATCATTTAACCCAATCCCGAAAAGGGGCATGTCCCAGAGCTCGTCATCGCCGTGGGGCCAGGCCTTGTGAACCACGGCATGCTTTCTTTCCTACCAGCTTGTTTAACAGGAGCTATGCCTCAAGAGAAAGCCAGGTCCCCGATTCTTGCCTCCTCTGCCATCACCCCCCCACGCAGAAGAGGTGTCTGGTCCAAAGAGAAGCCCTGGGGCTCCCTGGATGCCAGCTACAAGGCAAGGCAGCTCAGGGAACCAGAGGTCCCAGAGATGGGGAATCACCATCGCCACACTTTCAGAATAATGATCCCATCAGCATGGCATCCAATGAGAAGCTAGAGATGCCTCAGGCCCAAGCCGCTCACACACCTTCCAACACTAACCCGCCCCTACTGAGGCTTTGTTTGCACGGCATCCTGGCTGCTCCAGGTTGGGGGCGGCCTCCTCCTTATCTGGTAGAGCAGTACTTCCTGCCCACATCACTGGCTACACGGAGCCCCAGATCGAGGGGTGGGGGGAAAGCGGGCTGATTAGTGGAGCCGGCGTCCACCCCCCCCCCCACCCTCCAATGTAGCCAGGGCTCTGCGGGCCAGACCGGAGATGTTGTTCCCAGGGAACTAGGTAGAAATACCAGACATAGTTAAGCCACATGACATGTTCTCATTGGACAGATCTCTGGGAGGGAAACACCTGCTTCTCCCCTCCCAGGGAGGTGCCGTTTGGCTAAGTGCAAATACCAGCAGTGAGGGGGAGATTAGTCAGGGAAGGGAGGAGAGGAGGAGGCCAGGCAGCAGATTTGGAAACTTATCTAGTTCTTGTTTCCTGTCTGGGGACTGGGGAGTACAACAAAAAATTCTGAGTGACAGGAAGGGTCCCTCAGAGGCACTTCACTGGGGCTCTATCTGCGTGGGTTTATTTTGTATCTTGCTCCTTAGGGGGGAAATGCCGGCCTTGCTTTCTTTGTGGATTCTCTGCCATTTCCTAAGTAAGCCTAGCACGCTGGCAGCAAATAAAGATGTCTGCTTTCCTCTCTGCCTATGCCATTGCTAATGCCAGCATTTCTAGAACTAGGTAAGTTAATGGCAGGGAAAGGAAGCATTCTTGCTTTATTCCTGTATTTACTGGGAAGGTTTCTAGTGTTTTTCCATTGTGAATAACGCCAACATTTACTTTTTTATACTCTTTTGACCACAGTAGAAATAGCCTTCCCATGCCTATGCACCAGAGGATTTTGTTTTAGCATCACTGTTATACTCTATACCATGGCTACTTAAATCTTTTCCACTCATGACCCCTTCTCGACCCCTTTCCACAGTGTTAGCTGTTGCGTGGCATGAGGGCATGCGCAGTGCAAAGTGCACAGGCTGTGTGTTCAGAACCAAGGCCTCACCGAAGCTGCCTGGACCACAACCCCACGGCCTACCCTTTGAGAAGTGCTGCTCTATACGAAGCTTTCTCTGCCATGGACTGATAATCATGGCTTGGGCTAGTTTTTATTTTTAATATAACTTAATTATATCCATTATTTTTCCTAATGTTGAGCCATCGGGTGACTGCCCCCAATCTTCAACAATCCCTCCCTCTAAACTAGTAGCTACTAAGTCTGTGGGCCTTTGCCCCCACTTCGGTCAAGCATTAACATCAACGAATTAAACGGTAAATGCTGAAACCCAATTGTGCATCTTCCGTTTGTGAAGACAAAAGCACTAAGCGCTGTAACCATACGGCCCAGTGCCCCGTCCTGCCTCCTTCACGGAGGTGGGAGAATCTAGGCTTTAAGAGCCACCCTGCACATGGGGTCACCCCTCAAGATGCACCTTCCCTCTTGTGCTCTGTGTTAAGAAGGGGTCGCTAACTGGACAGTAACACAGCTGGAAATGAAGGAAAGATAAAAGAAAAAGATCGCTTTAAAGGAGGCACTCAATATCTGCTTAAATCTGGTAGGGGGCCGGCAGACAGTCCTAAGGATGAGGACAAACAGCAGAATCTGCACAGGGCTGGACGCCGCAGGCCCAGCCCACCCGGCCGGCTTTAAGGGGCCGCCGCAGAGGTCCTGAAGGCCGTCAGGGTTTGCAGCCAGAGAGGAAGAAGGCAGCAGCATTCCAAGAGACAGAGGAGGGGGAGGGGGAATGAATCATGTGGGACCATCTGCTGCAGGGCAAGATCTTGTCAAAAAGCATGGCAAAATTCGCTTCCGTCCACTTGTGCCCCATCTCCCCCACCAAGCAGCCCAAAGACTGGGCCCAGCCTCCACCGTACTTGGCACTTTCTTTGCCCACAGAGCATGCAGGCATTTTCACCTGGAGGAGCAGCACTGTTTCGAGGGTGACACGCCGCGTTCTAAAGGCCCCGCTGCATCCCCAGGCTAGGAAGGCGCTGCCCTGCAGGGGCCACACAAAGGGACACTGACGGAGGCAGAGGAGATGGGCACGGGGCAGAAACGCTCACGTGGGTGGGGCAGTCCAAGACCTGCTTTAGGCCCCTCATCTGCCAGCACTAGCCACAACCTCTGAACCCCCACGGCACGCCATGAGGCTCTCGTACCACCCCGAGAACAGGACGAGGGCTGTTGGCACGTTCCTTCTCCTAGGACCTCGATGTCGGCAGAGAGCCCAGAACAAGCTCCCAAGGGTGCAGCCGAGTGGCCACTGGCCCCCGCAGTCTCTGTCCTCTCCAGCTGCTGGACAGACGGTGCGGACGGGCACACTGACTTGGAGTCAGGGCCTAGTTTCTGGCCCCACTTGTTAATTCTAGCTGTGTGACCACACACACATCCTTCCCTCGGTGTTCTCTATAGAAGAGGGAGGGATCTGGGTTCCAGCCTCCAATCCTATGAAAGCCAAGGCATTGCAGAAGAAGACCAAACTCTGACATCCTGCTCCTAACAAGAGCCCTGGAGGAGACCAGCAGGCCCTCTGCAGTGCCGGGTTAATGAGATAATAACAGCCATTAACCGTTTCCCATTAACTCAGTCTTCTGTGTAACGCCGGGTCTCCTCTGCTTCTCAGGCCCCAGGCTAGTCCTTCTCCGGCTCCAGCTCAGAACTTGGCATTGAGAAAGGATTCAAAGGGTCTGACAGACCGCCCTGACAACCACCCCCAGGGGGCCAGAATGGTCTGACCCAGGCCCTGAGATCTGCAGACAGTAAGCCTGAGGAGCCAGGCTTGGGCCGGCAAGCACTGAAGCCAGCACCCGACGGACCGCTCTGCGCCGAAGTGAAGCTCGAGAAGGCCAGGATTATGGAAACTACTAAAAAGAGCCTCATCCCAACTGGGCTCAGCCCCAACCCATCCATCCCAGAAGCAAACGCTCGCCATCTTGGGGCAGGCCCAGCCAAGCTACCACCAAGCACGGAAACGTTTGTCCCCCGCAGCCTGGCCACCTTAGGCCAAGGGAGCTGAGTCCTCCCTCCCAACAACTGCTGGAATCGCAGGACCTCGGAAACCCCGGATCTCATCAAGGATCTGTGTTTGAAGATAAACAGGGAGGACGCTGGACTTGAAATCCAGAGCCCTGCGCTCAGGTCCAGGTTTCATCACTTACCCCCCAAAAGGAAAGAAGAAACACCTAAGTGTAGGTTTTCAAGCCTCTGCCCCTTTCTTCCTTCTGCCTGGATAAAGAGCTGAGGCAGCACAGAGGGAGGCCAGCTTGGCCCTGTGTTAGACAGCGCCCCAGCCAAGTCACTGAACCTGGCGGCCAGCTTCCCCATTCTGCAGATGAGGACAATGAGGCTGGTAAAGCCAATGACAATGTCTACCAAGCACTCTGCAAAACCTTAAAACACAAAATCTAAACCAAAGCTATTATTATTAATCAACATATTCCTGCCAAATGGCTAAATACAGAATATTTGGTTCAACTCTGGCCTGCCACAACGAGACACATTTCTGCTAACTTATCCATTTGGCTTCGGAAGAGACTAAAATAAATTCATTAATTAACATCAATGACTAGCAGTGATAAAATAGTAATGGAGCCGAATTACAGCAAGTTCTCAGGCCACGCCATGACTCTCTGTCCTTACGGGAGTACGAGTAGGCCTGAGGCCAGAGCAAAGCAAATTTGTGGCCTCACCAGGAGGCCCCCACCCCCATACCCAGTTTTGGCAAATGCCTCCTTCCGTGCCCCACCACTACATTTGCTCCTCTGAGCTCACCCCTCTTCCCGCTAACATCCCAGAAGCCCAACCTGCCAGGGTCCCAGAACCAGTGGTCACTACTGTCCTTATCCTGGCCCTGCCCAAATACTGAGGCCACCCCGTGAAAGTCAGGATGCTAAACAGGGACTCAGCCTTGGCTGGAGTCCTCACTTTGCACAGGAGGGCCCAGAAGTTAATATTCCTCTAGTTGACTTCATGGCATTTTATGAGGAAAAGAGACAGGCTCAGGTGGTTAATCAGTCAGAAAAAATCCCTCCGACTGGATGGATGACAGCCCAGCCTATGGGTTGCACCGAGGGGATTCACCCGCCCCACCGGGTAGCGGCTCACCTCTGCTGATGCGCTGTTTTTCTCCAGAGAGGATTCCTGGGGTGTCGATAATGCTGATGCTCTCCAGGACAGGGTTGGGCAGCTGCGCACACATGAACCTGCACAGGACAGAGACAAGAAGCCGAGAAAGAGAGCAACTCACTGATGACGCACAAGCTGGCGTGGACACCGTCCTTCCTATCACAGTGCCTCCTGACACCTGGACGAGGAAGGAGGAACGTGGGTTCCCAGAAGCCGGCAAGATTCAGGAAAGTGAAGCCAGCAGCATCCAGGGCTGCCAGGGAAGTACATTCTCTGCTGAGCCAGCGCTTTGCTAAAACACGCAGCCTGAGCCGGCACGTTAGCTCCTAGGCCAGGTCTAGAGTTCAAGTTCCAAGCTGCTGACTTGGGAGAGAAAAGGACACCAGCTAATAAGTCACCATTCAATTCAGAAGGGCCACCTGGGACCTTGGAGTTTCCCAGTGACCCAGCCAATTGAACTTTCCCCTGCCACGGACCTTCCCCCAAACCCTTCTGGGCTCCCAGGGCCAGGCCCATCCCTGCCCCGGCCAGGGCTGCTGAGGCAAAGGGGACCGACTTTGACAAGCTCAGAGAGAAAGGTGGCCGGGTCTAAAGGAACAAAATTATCAATGAGCCCTTTTAGCCCTGAGAATGCGCCAGGCATCAGGTTCCCTGGTCTGTAGAAAAGAGAGCTCTTTACAAACGCCTAACTCCAGTCCAAGTAACCACTAATGGTGACGGACGCTGACTGACTGAAATGCCGGCTATCGCTGGTGCAGCAGAAACAACGTTGACCTGGGAATCTGGCGCCCTGCGCTCCAGGGCCAGACACACCACTTAAAGTTGTGCGGCCTTATCGGACCAGTCCCTTTGAATTCCTGGGACCCTGCTTCCTTTTTTGGACAGAGAATCCACTCTAGTTCTACTGTTTGAGGATTCCATGTTCTCCCTGTCTTGTGAGACCCTCCGGGGATGGCCAGGGTGTCCACTGTGACCACAAACAGAGCACAAGTAAAGACACTGCGGACCTCTGCCTTGTTGGCCCTGCTCAAGGACCAGTCAGGGCTTATTGCACAACATGCCACATACCAAGCCTGCCTGGTATGGGGAGGCCGTGGAGGAGAACCACGTCCCTTCCAGTCCCACCTGTTGTCGGATCAAAGATTCCGCTGCTACCAAACAGTTAACTCTGTGACTTAGAAATGAGGGGCGCAGAGGGTCCGTGCCGTCTGCCAGGAAATGGGGCAGTCTCAGAGCTTCTGGCTCACCCGTGACATCCTTACTACAAAGTGGGAGTTAGCTAGTTACACAATCAGGACTTTTTACAACAGAATCACAACACAGCCCCAGGGTTTCATCTGCTCTCTTCAGAGCGGCTGGGAGCTCCTGGAAGTCCATGTGGCCCTTCAGATGCTTCAAGTGGAGAAGATGAGCACCTTCTGTTACATCCTCTCCACAGAAGGCGGGCCCACAGGACACCCCAGAGGGAGGAACCACCCTTAACCTCACTGAGAGTGAGCGCCAGGTTAGGCCCCGCCGGCCATGAGCCCAGCTCTGCAGGACCAGGCAAGGGGCCATGACAAAGAGCAGGTGGGAGTGACAGCCAGGCCTAAACAAAAGCATGCTGAACTCGCCCATGCCCTCCTGGCCCCTGCCAGACTCCCCACTCACCTCCCTGGCCCTTCACTGGCCCTTGCTTAGCAGTGCCTAACTTGCCTGCTCAACACCCCCGAAGCAGGAAGGCCAAATCTCACTCCCCCCTTTAGAGAGCAGGAATCTGAGGCTGCCTTTGGGCAAACTGCCCTTGCTGGCCACAGTCAGAACCAGGCCTCCGGCCTGAACCTCCAGACTCCCAGCTCACTGTCACTGCCTCGCTGCAGACCTGCACTCACCAAAGAAACCACAGAGGGCTGAAGAATGAAAGAGGTACCAGGCGAAGGCCTGGGGGCAGCCACAGCCAGGCTTTAAGATCTGCCTTTGACAAGAGTCTCAGTCCAAGGAGATCAAGGCTGGGCCCCTACAAGTGCAGCAAGGACTCCTATCATTCCCTGGGATCGCTCTAATAACCCTCTGCCTTTCTGAGTCACATGACTCTACACCCACGGGCCAAAAGGCCCCACGGGGGGGGGGGGACCAGGCACAGAGGTTCACTCCTATAGCCCACTGGGGAGGGGCCCACAAAGCTGGAACCTTCCAAGGGGCAGCCCTCCCTCCCGAGTCTGCTTTGGGCTCGGGGCCTACTTGGTCCACAGGCCTCCAGGACAGCTGTACTCTCCTTGGAGCCGGTTTCTGGTAAAGGAATGTGATCACAGTGGGCAGGGATTCGGGGTCAAAAGTCTTCTTCCTTCCTCAGCTCCTCACTGACTCAGTAAACCACCCCCTCCCACCTCCCCTCACCAGGAGGGAGCTAGTGGTCAGGGTTTGCAAAACGGGTCCAGATGAGTCAAACTGGAATGTTTCCTGACATAAATGATCAGCTTTGCTAGAAAGGGATAAGGGAATCTTCCTGCTACCTCGACTCTTTCCAGGTGGGGGGGGGTCATCAGCATCACATGACACTCACAGCTACCACTGGGGCTCGTCCTTCCCCTTGTATTTGGACTTTAGACAAAGTCCCCTTTGAGGGGGCTGAGAAAAAAAATCACAGTGTGTGGACCATTTAAAAATATGCCAACAAAGGAGTTCAAGGGGGAAAGAATGAATGAAATCCAAACACGCCATAGCCTTGGCCAAGGGGAAGAACAAGTCTATTCCTCAAGTGTGCTCTATTTGGCTCTAGAGGTGGGGTGACATCTGCAGGAGCCTTCAGAATAATCATCTGAAAATGGGGGGTCCCCAATTCATCCAAAGTAATCTTCGTCCCCACCAGAATCTTAAGCGCCAGCTTGGGAGAGGAGGGGAGATGCAATCTCAACTCAGTCCCAGGACAACAGAGTTCTAAGGAACTACCAAGATGTCTGGAACAAAGAAAGGCAGGACTGGGGGTGGGGAGTGTGGACGGCGTGGCTCCTGGCCTTGCTCCCCACCGAGGAGACTGCTGCTAACGGCTCTGGCCCTACTCCTCAGAAAGGGGGCGAAGGCGTCGTCCCCGCTGTGTCCTGCCCTGCAGCTCTGCTGGCAGAGGGAACGAGAATTTTCCTTTCTTGAGATTCCCCCCACAGGATCCTACCCAGCTTGGGCTGTGCACACCTCTCCTGTCTAGCCCCCACCCTGAATTAGAGCGGGCAGATCTATGTCAAAGGTCAAAAGTGCCAAAATCGCTGCCCCACCTCCCAAGCTGTGCACAGAAGTCACATCACTGGCTGTGTTTGGGGTAAGCCAGGCCTAAGAGGGGCACATTTCCCTGGACCTCCTGCACCCCAAAAAGAGAAGGGCTGCAAACTGGAACATGGTAGAGCTTTGAGAGAGGGAGTCTGGGGGCCCTACAGAGCACCAGAAGGCCTAAGGGCATTTGGCCAACCAGAGTGAATGAACAGGGGAAAGGGGAGGGAAGTCCAATGCCTTTAGGGAAAGAGGGAGGGGAGAGGGCATCAGACAGAGGGCAGCCCAAGGGATGGAGCACAAGCAGGAGGGGAGGGGGCAGGGAGGAATCTGAACAGCTGGAAGGGCAGAGGGGCCTACCCCGGCTGAGGCAAAAGTGGAAATCTTTCAGGGATTTGTGAGGCAAGGTCTCGGGCATTTAGGAGACAGAACTCTCAATGACCCAAGTTCAGTCTGGCCCCTGACCCTCAGCAGCCTTATGACTCTGGAAGGTGACTTGCCCTAGCTGCCTGCCTCAGTTTCCTCACCTGTAAAGCAGGGATAAGAACAGGACCTATCCTCCTCTCAAGTGTCATAAGGATTAACCGAGATAATACTGTAAAGCAGATTAGCCATGATTACTGGTTATGATAAGTTGGGGGGATGTCCCAGGCTGCCAGAAGCAGGGAGCAAAATGAAAGCGGGGATCAGAGCATTCAGGGTCCCTTCTCATTTGAAACCTGGTCAAGCCCGACTGGAGGGATGGGGGAGGAGACACTCTGAGGAGGGGGTCAGGGAGGAAGAAGGACCCTCTGAAGGAGAGGGGTGGGGTCCCTCTGGGTGCTCCCATCTTCCCACCACACATCTTTCTCAATCATGGAAGCCCCCTCAGATATTCCTATCCCAACATGGGGCCAGTTGGAAAGAGTCTGCTTGCGTGGGAGAAGCTCTAAGGTGCTGCTTGTGGGAGGTACTCACCCCATGGCTTCACCTAAGGTGCATTCACTACCCGAAGGAACTGGTGTCCCTGAAATTCTAAGGGGATGAGCTCACTAATTGGAGGATGTCTCCTCTAAGCAATGAGGATGTGAGGCCCCACGCAGGATACCTCAGGGGTCTTCCCTGACTGGGAAAAATGTTGCCCCAGCGGGTGGGGTACCTGAGATGTGTGGTAGGGGGATGGGAGCACCAGAGGGGCAAGACCCCCCACAGGAAGGGAACTTGCACGGGAATAGGAAGCCTCAGGGAGTGTAAGATGAAGGTCCCAAGTGTTTTAACGCTTTTTACTTTTCTGGGGGTGTGAGGGGGACTGAAGGGCTGGGTTCCCCGGAGGTTGTGTCACTGGGTGTGGTGGTGCTCCAGGGGCCTCAGGAGTGGAGGAAAGCTATTAGCCAAGAGGAGGGAGGGGGGCTGTCTGGAGCAAGAGTGAGGCCCTGGTGAGTAAGAGGGGTGGGGGGGGAGGTCCCTGAATGGGAAGGGGGGAGGGGAGCAATATCCTTGGAGCTAGAAGGCGAGCATTCTCCATATCCTAAGCAAGAGTTCCCCTGGTACAGGGACATGGGAGGGGGTAAGAACCTTGTCCAGGCTGGGGGGCTTGGAGCATGGCAGAGTGTCCCTCAGTCCAGAGGTGGCGTACGAGGGGGTGGTCCTCACTCTTAGGGGAAGTCCCCTACAGTCTAGAGAAGGAGCACATCTTGGTCGCGGAGAGCATTTGGGGGGGAGGGGTGTCCCTGGTCCGGAGTGTGGGACGTGCAAGCCCAGACCTCTCACGTGGCTCTCCCCGGGAGGGTCTCAGTTCAAAGGTTTAGGAACAAAGGGATGGTCCTCACTCGGGGGGGGGTCCCCCTTTAGTCTGGGGTGGGGGGGGTAAGGGGTAAGAACATCGGGGGTGTTCGTCGGTCCAGGGTGGGTCCCCGGCCCGAGACACAGGGGCAGACACGTCCTTCCCCCGGAGGGGGGGGTCACTCCAAAGATGGGGCGCAAGGAGGGGTCGGAGGAGATCCTCGGCGCGGCGCGCGCCCGCCCGCACTCACCGGTTAAGGAAGGCATTGCCGAAGGCGTTGAGCTTGCGGAAGGGTCGGCGCGGGTCCACGACGAGCGCGTTGCCCGGCACCACGCCCTCGGCCGCGCCGTGCATGACGGCGATGAAGGAGTCGGTGGTGGGCTCGGGCCCGATGCGCATGCCGGGGAAGTCCTGCTCGATGAGGTGCCGGATGAAGGTGGTCTTGCCCGTGCTGTACTGGCCCACGAGCAGCACCATGGGCTTGTTGTCGAAGTCGGCGTCCTCGAGCGCCGGCGAGTGGAAGTCATGGAAGCGGTAATGCTCCTCGAGCGGCAGCAGCTTCTGCGCGTACAGCTGCCGCAGCCCCTCGGCCACCGTCTGGAAGAGCTCGGGCTCCTTCTTGCGCCGCGCGTCTTTGTTCACCCAGCTGAACATGGTGATGAGGCCGGCGGCCGACGCTGCGCGGGGAAGCGGGAGCGTGAGCCGGGGAGGCAACACCGGCGGCAACAGCGGCGGCAACAGCGGCAGCGACGGCGGCCCGGCTCCGGCCCCTACCGCGCCCCCTCCGCAGCGCGCAGGCGCACACGCACACACAACGGCCCGGCCCCCCACCCCCCGCCGCCGAATGAGAGCGCGCCCGCCCGGCCGCGTCTTTTATAGGCGGCCTGGAACGGGGGCGGAGCCGAAGCCGCCCGCGTGCTTCGGCGCGCGCCCGCCCGGCCGAGGGGGCGGAGCCGCCGCCCCGGGGCCCGCAGCGCCACGTCTTCCCCCGCCTCCCATTGGCCTGGGCCAAGTCTCGCGACGTTGCGTCCTCCGGGCCGTAGCCGCGGAGGCTACCGAGGCAACGGGGTCGAGTTTCTCTCCCACCCCCACCGCCTGTTCCTTCTGGGGCGGGGGCGGAGGGGGTTGAGGGGCGCGCGTGCGCAGGAGAGGAAAAAGACCCCGGGCCGGAGCAAGGCTCGGGGGCGGGGCTTGTTGTTCTCCCCCCTCCCCCGCCCCGCCCACTCCTCTGGCTGAGTGCGGCTCTCTCTGGCCGCGTTCCCCGCGCCGCCCTGGGCTCTGCCCTCGGTCCCTTGGAGACTCCGTGCCCTCCTAGAGCCGCCCCTGCCCCATCAGCCACTCCCCAGCCCCCTCCCCTGACAGCTAGGGAAACTGAGGTCCGGGGCGGGGAAGTGACTTATCTGAAGTCACCCGTGAGATCCCAGATCTAGAGCTAGAGGCAGCTCTGGCCATCCTGCCCAACCCCCTCAGTTCACAGTTAGGGAAACTGAGGCTCCCAATTCATCGAATTTTGTCCTGCCACTGTGCTCCCCCTTTAGACCGATTTGGAAGCTGAAGCCCAGAGACAGGAGACTTGTCCAAGGTCACATCTCTTTGCAGCCCTCTTTGCACTGCCCCTTGATGCTCCCCCGCCCTCGTGTGACTTTGGGTAAGTCACTTCCCTGATTACACATCTGTAACATGAGAAACAATAAAGGCATCCAGGCTTAGTGGACTTGGAGTCAGGAAGACCTGAGTTCAAATCCTCTCTCAGACACCCAACTGGCTGTATGAGCCTGGACAAGTCACTTAACTTCTCAGCTTCTTCATCAGTTTAAAAAAGGAGGGGGGGCAATAACAGCCCCCCCCCCCAGCATCCAAGCACCTAACCCGCCTCACAGGCCTTAGGCAAGCCCCCTGCCATTCTGAGGACTGGGCTGCTTCCAGAGAGATGCCGAGTTCCAGGACATGGTCTGCAGATGAGGCTCCTTCCCAGCTCTAAATCTGATGCCCCAAATTCCCCAAATGCAGAAGTGCCCAAGAGCCCCAGGAGCTCCCTCTGGACTCTCTCTGTGTCTGTCCCTCCTTACTCAGCCACCTCCTCCCACCTCCCCATGTCCTCTTATGTCCTCTCCTAGCCCAAAAAGACGGGGAGGGTGAGAAAGAGCCAAAAAGGGGGGGTTGGGGAGGAGTAAAGGAGGAAGTGGAGTCAAGGGGAATGGAGGTGAGGCATACAGCAGGTGCTTAATGTCTGTTGAGTTGAACTATGGTAAGTGAAAAGGAAGGACAGAAAAACAGACAAAGTTGAGCTAGATGGGGAGGTGATTATTTGAATCCTCTAGGTCTGAAGCATGTGGGGGGAAGAAATAAAACCAGAGGGGCAGGAGAATCACAGACTAAACTGATTCTGCACACAGAAGATGCTTAATAAGTGTTTGGTGAGTGAATGAATGAATGAAGAGTGTGCCTGTGTGTAAAAGGAGCTTGTTGAGTTTTGAGGAACTAGGTTTGGAAATTCCCCTCCTCAGTGTGGGATGAAAGGGGAAGAGGTCTGGGGAAATAATCAAATTTCCTGGGTAATCCAAAAGGCTGAGGAAATCTAACCACTTCTGCTTCCTGCCCGCTCCTGTCAGTCCCCCATTTGACTCTGACCCCAGGGCTCCCTTACCCGTTCCTGGCTCTTCCATTGTTCTGATAGCCCCACCACCATCCCCAGAATTGCATAGCCCCACATCAGCTGCCTCTGGGCTGGGCAGCAGCGGGGGTTGGGGCCAGGTAGAAGCCCCAGGGATGATGTCACAGCCCTGGGAACCTCGATTGTTAGGTCACAGAGGGGGTGCTAGGCAATGGCTTCCTCTGGAGAAAACAGAAGAAAGGGGGAGCACGAAGCCGCCGTGGTTATAGTGGGAATGACAAGAAGGACTCCTCGTTGGAGGAAGAGGGAAGGATCTTGGGAGAGAAGAGAACGGGAAGGAATACGCTAATTCTAGGGGGGGAAATGGGTCGCAGAAAAAATGTAATGATTGAATTAGGGGGCACTTGAGGCCAGGTGTTTGGGGTCGCTTCTTCATCACTGAGATTGTCACAGGCTCATGTTACAAAATCATCCTCCTACTGCCCACCCCAAAATCATCCTCCTACTGCCCACCCCCAAAAAACCTTTCCTAATGCCCCCCAAAATCATCCTCCTACTGCCCACCCCCAAAAAACCTTTCCTAATGCCCCCAAAATCATCTTCCTAATGCCCACCCCCAAAATCATTCTCCTACTGCCCACCCCAAAGTCATCTTCCTAATGCCCACCCCCAAAAAACCTTCCTAATGTCCATGCCCCCTCAAAAAAAGCTGAGCAGGTTACGTCCCTGCTCAGAAAACTTCAGTGATTCCCTATGGCCTCTGGGATGCCATACAACCTGTCTGGTATTTAAAATCACTCAGTAAGCATTTAAATAAGTAAGGAAATGAGGAGCCAAAGTCCAGGTGATAGAGGTAAGGAATTAAGTAAATACCTACCGTGTGCCAGGCCCTGTGCTAAATGTTGGGGTTGCAAAGAAAAGCACAGGAGAGTCCCTGCCCTCCAGGAGCTCCCGCTCTAACAGGGCAAGTCAGAGCGTTGTCAACAGAAGGACAGCCAGGGACTGGGAGGGCTCCCCAGAAGGGATGGGACGTGAAGAGGGCATGCAGGAGACAGAGGCAGGAGAGCCAGCGTGAGAGGCCCTGGGGGACAGCCAGTGAAAACGAGCCAAGAGATGCAGTCCTGCCCAATCTACCTCCAACTAGCTTTCAAAAAATGTTCACCTTGGTGCTGGACTTGGAATCAGGAAGACCTGTGTTCAAATCTGGCCTCAAACGCTTACTAGCAATGTGACCTTGGGCAAGTCACTTAACCCTGTCTGCCTCAGTTTCCTCATCTGTAAAAGGAGGATAATAATAGTACCAACCTTCCAGGTTCTCGTGAGATCAAATGAGTTAATAATTGTAAAGCGCTTTTACAATGCGTGGCATGTAGTGAGAGGGACATGGATGTTAGCTGTTAGGTGAGAGGCCACGATGTGAGGGAAGGGTGGGTACCATCTGAAGTCATATGGCCCCTCTGAGATGGCCTCGGTTCTTGGCCTGTTGTTCATTTTGTGCTGTCCCGGGGGCAGGGAACGGAATCTCCAAACATGGGAGAGTTGGACAGGCCACAGGAATCCCAGAGCGAGACTCCAGGCTTGGATTTGCAGCCAATACAGCCTCAATGCCCCAAAGAGTGCCCTTTGGGACCCCAGCTCAGCAGAAGGACTCGCCTGGTGTGACTGCCACATCTGGACATGGACTTGGTGCCACCAAAACTATGGAGGAAAAGTTAAGTTTTGCGCCTTCTCCTCCAGAGACCAAGGTAACGGAGGAGAGAGTACATCCCAAAGCGTGGGGAGAAATGTCCAAACATTTGTTCTTGCTATATCTTTGAAATAAATTGTTGTTCAATTGCGTCCAACTCTTCCTGACCCCTTTTGGGGGTTTTCTTGGCAAAGATACTGGAATGGTTTGCCATTGTCTTTTTCAACTCATTTTACAGATGAAGAAACTGAGGCAAACAGGGTTAAGTGACTTGAGCAGGGTCACACAACTAGTAAGTGTCTGAGGCCAGATCCGAACACAGGTCTTCCTGACTCCAGGTCTGGCACTCTGTCCACTATGCTAAAAGTCATTCAGTGTAAGCAGCTAAATTGAACTGGGGTGCTAGTCACTGGCCCCTAACAAATGGAAGGGATACAGCCTGTGGGGGTTCATTCTGGTGGCAGGAAAGAAGAAACCCCACCCGGGTTTCCAAGAAGGGTAAGGATTTTCTAGAAGTCCTGGTTCTGGGGGACTGGGCCAGAACGTATACACGCTAATAGTAACACAGAAGAACTTGAAATTGGCTTGAAAGGGAATGTAAGAAATATGACAAAAGATAAGAATCAGGCCACAACACCCATTTCTCGAATTACACCCTCCCGATCCTCCAGGAATCTAGGTCATGCATTCTCACGCTCCCTTATTGGGGGGGTAAGAAGATAGGAGATTAGAGAGAGCAGGTTTACAGGGCTCCTCTCCAGGGCTTCACCGCCAAGCAGGCCAGGGACAGAGCTCAGCAGCCCACGGTGAGAAGGCTGGCCAAGCTCCGCCCTGCATCCTGAAGCTCTGACGTCCCACAACCATCCCTCGGTAAGATGGCAACAGCACCTGGCCCGACATGCCCAGCCATGACTGCTCGGCTCGGAAGAGGGAGAAAGGCTCTCCTTGGCAGCGGTAAAAGGTACGGGAAGTTACGAGGCAGCTTCCTGGCTGGCCCTCCATGCGCTCCTGTCTTCTCTGACCCTGCTAGGGTTTTCCCACTTCCCATGTCTCTCATGAGAGTGTTCACACCAAGCCTCTCCCAGGCAAGCCGCCAAGGCTCCATCCTATCAGAGCCTGCTCTGGGGTGACGTTATCACTAGCTGAATGCTACATAGGCTCGTGGGGGATGTAGCGTTCGAGGATAACATGTTCTCCCTTTCCCTCCAGACAGTGGGTCAGTTAGCAAGCACTACTGAACGTGCCTGGCACCCTGTTAAGAGCTGAGGCTAAAGGCCAAAAGCAGCCTGTGCCCTCAAGCAATGGGCGAGACAACTTGTAAATGACTAGGCATATTCAAGGGACAAGCAGAATTAATGAAAGGACATCTGAACAGGGAAGATGTTATTAGCAGCTAGGAGGGACCAAGAGGAGCCGTCTATAGAAGGTAGGATTTGAGCGGAGTCTGGAAGGAAGCCAAAGGAACTGAAAGGCAAAGATGGGGAGGGAGGGCGTTCCTGGCATGGGGTTCAGCCAATGCAAAGGCAGGGTGATGGGAGATAGAGGGTCATGTGGGAGGAAGAGCAAGAAGGCCAGTGTAGCTAGATAAGAGAGTGAGTACAAGGGGAGATAGGAAGAGGCCAGGTCATGAAGGGCTTTGAAGCCCAATCAGAGGAGTTGGGATTGATCCTGGAGGTAATAGCTTCTATTTCCCTCCCTGTGGCCCCACTTTTCCCTCCAGCCTTCCCCCCCCATGTGGCCCCATCTCCCTTTTGGGGCCACTGGCTCGAGCAGGAGTCGGGGTGACATGCGCAGGCCTACTTGTTACAAAAATCACCTCATCAGCTGGGGTCAGATGGATTGCAGAGGGCACAGAGAGAACATTGAAAAGGCTTTGCTGTACTCTGGGTGAGAGATGACCAGGGCCTGAACTTGGGTTGGGGCTATATGAACAGAGAGAAGGAACAGTGTGAGGGCAGAAATAACAGGATTTGCCAAGACACTGGACTGGGGTTTGAGGGGGTGTGACAAGTTGTTGGTGCTAAGTCGCAAGCCTGGGAGACTGGGTGGATGGCGGCACCTTTGACAATAATATGGAAGTTCAGAAAGGGGAAGGAGGTGGTGCTGAGGGAAGCTAACGAGTTTTAATTTGCACATACTGAATTTGAGATGTCCAGAATGAGACGAGGCCCGTGAACCAGCAGAAAGGTCAGAACTGGGCATAGACTTCTGGGTATTGTCTTCACTGAACCCATGACAGCCAATGAGAACAAAGAGGAAAGGGACCCAGGGCAGAACTGTGGGTAACCCCCATGGTTAGAGAATAAAGAATTAGCAAAGGAGAACAAAAAGGGGGCGGTCAGAGATGAGGGAGTAGAACCAGGAGAGAAGTGTGTCAAGAAGACCTAAAGAGGAGAGAGTGTCCAGCAGGACAGGGCAACAGCTGGCGAGCATCCAGCAGGAGAGGGGGATGGGGTGGCGAGCATCTAGGAGAACAGGGTGACAGGGTGGCGAGCATCCAGCAGGACAGGATGATGAGGCGGTGAGCATCCAGAAGGAGTAGGGGACAGGGTAGCCTCCCCACAAACTTTTTCATTCCAACCCAGCCAAGGGCAATCCTAGCTCCCGCTTGCTTTCCTCCAGTCATCCCTTCTCCTGACCCCATTCAACGGCCCCTGAGACATTCGCGGGCCAATCCCTCTTTCTGTTCAACCTTCCCTTGGCTTCTTCCTTCTCTCTTCTCATCCCAGGGGAATGCTGGCTCCTTGCAGACGGGTTCATAGGCCAGGACTCTTAGGGTAAGACTCATTGTGCTCACCCTGCCTGCAGGGATAAGGAAAGGTAGGTTTAAATCTCTCCTTGTTTGAAGTCAGAGCCACCGTCCATCCACCTGTAACATCTTTGAAGCATCACAGAGAGTGCTGACGTTTCCTCAGTCTCTACTTCCACTTTCTTCTCCTCTTTTTGCATCTTCTTCCCCAGCGAAGTTTCCATACCGAAACTCCAGCTATTACCTCCCCATGGGTGACTCCCCAGGCTAGATTACGCCAGTCCTCCAGTCCCACGTTTACAATCCACATTTCTAAAACTTAAGCACATCATCTCCCCCATCCCATTTCTAAGAATGGAACCACGAGGCTCCTTATCACCCAGACTTGCAACCTTGCAATCACCTTTCATCTGCTCCCCTAAAAACCGATCAGTCGTGGAATTTTAGATGCTCAAGTTTGGACACCTCTCAGAAGAGAAGTGTAGATTGGAGAGTCATCTGTGGAAAGGTCGTGATTGAAATTGTGAGACTGAGAGAGACTTCCAGAGGAAAAAATGGAAAGCGACAAGAGCAGAGCTTTGGAAACTTCCTTTCTCCCAGAGCTGGAAAGAGCAAACACTGAAGGAGACAGAGGAGGAACATTGAGAGAGGTATCAGGAGAACCCGGGCACAACCATTGTGCAATGCAA